TTATGTGCCACAGTTAATCTGGCAGGTCTAGGTGGGGAATGTAAGCAGTTTCACTTATTTATAGTATATATCCATGTCTTGAACGCCACCTGAACACTAAACATTGCACATCTGGCTAAGAAGTCTCCGCAGCAGCTTTATGTCTGAGCAAACCGATGAAGTCTGGTTTATTTCTGATTATCCTTAGAAACTTCTATAGCTGCATAACTAATATTATCTTGACCAGTTTCATCACAGTCGGGCATACTGTATCAGCACTTCTTGATTAGGTGGTTCGCAAACCTCTGCAGGCAGTGGTACAGACAGCTAAAAACATCAACACGACTGTCAGAATCCAGAGAACAGCTGTCACCATCCTCAAGACCCCCACCCACCTTTAGTGGGGACTTTTCACACCTATCGCTTCAGGCTATAGGTAAGGAAGTGGGAGAAATTGGATACAGTTCTTCAGACTGAGGATCTCGTTCTTTCTTCCTTCAAGCTTCTTAAACTGCTGACACTTCTCTATAAACACATTGTGTATATACACTAGTTTTATGTAGATGATCTTACTATCATTTGATCATGAACATTTTGGTTTGCTCATTGCTTGTAGCAATATATCCCATTTTTGCAACCATCTCTGTGTATTTATTTTTGCTATTACTTCTCAAATGTATTTACATTTAGAGTATTGAGCAGACGAAGAATTTAGTTACTCAGGAAGCATGTTTTTGGACTGTGTAATTGATAGAGTTGTCCTGATACAATATTGTCATTTCCGATATGATTAGAATAAGAGCTAAACAACTTTTCATAAAATCTAAACGCCAATTATTTATTTTTTTTATTACTATTTTTTCCAACTAAGATTATGATTTTATTTAGATTTTCCTTTGCATATAGCTAATACTTTAAAAGCATAGTGCCTGCTACTCTGGAACTGTTGTTCTACATGTTTGTATCTTGCTTTCACGTGAATTTCAAGTGCTGCTGGATAAAAAGGCTGGTACAGACCGTCAGTTTGCTTATTTCATGTATTTTAGCATATTAGATAAGCGAATTCCTGGTATATAACAATATAAAAAAGTATTAATATCTCAGAATTAGGACTTTGGAACAAAGAAAGCCACATAATTTGTTTAATAATCTGATTTCTATCACCTTTGTTATCTATTAATATTCATTATTAGGAGAATGAAATGAAAATAGAATTAAAAAATCTAATAAACTGCTAATAATTGAATGGCTTAGTTTTAAAAAATGTGGAAAATGAACAGAATACTTCTAGGAACTTTAGTTAAGCAAGTTTTGATCTATATTCTCACTGATAAAATAAATTATCCCTCCTAGGTAATTGGGGTCTACAACATTGAGACAGTTGTGTTGGTTGTTGGGATATCTAAATTAATCTGTAGCTCTGGCTTTTTTAAAAACTTTGTATTTCGGAAAGAGTTTCTCAAACCTCTATGTTAATACTTGATGCTTGAATTAAAATGCCTACTTGCTTAATGCTTTTAGTAAGTTTTCAATTTAGGAAAGAAATTTGAAAGTGTTACATCATCTAAGGAGAACATTGGGTTTTTCAATATTTTTGTTCACTTCAGTGATGTATAATACTGCAAAGATTCGTTATCTCAATTTATTTTACATGCTACTGTTTAGTTAAGCAGCTTCGGCATGTTTACAGAGATAAGAAAGCATTCCAGTCTTTCAGACTATTTACTTTCTTTGACTTTGCCTAAAATAACCCCAGTTAAACAAGAGTGGTAGTGAAAGCTAAATGTTTTTTGTCTTAATGTTGTTTTACATTTAAGGCACTTGTGGCTTAAAATGTGTTCCAAGGGATTTATTTTCCCTTTTGATGTATACATATTTTTCGAGGCGTTAAGTCTTTTAAAGAAAGATTATATATTTACTTGGCCTTATCATTTAGTTTCTTAGGTCGAGAGTAGATTTCTCTACTTAAGCAATTTCCTTACATTAAAGACCTCTGCCCTAAACCATTTGTATCCCTGGAGTCTTCAGAGATATTAGTTTTTTCCCCAAAGGTCAACAGTCATCTCCACAGTCTTATGTGGCTTTAGATCCAGATGGCACATAATACACTAGTTAACTAGCTGATCCACCTCCTGTGTATGCAAATTCATCATTGTTCTAAACCAGATCAATTAAATTGTTGTTTTTTTATGTGTAAACTACAGGAGTTTTGCAAACTCGGATTTAGTCATTTGAACAAAGAAAGGATTGGTGGGAGAACAGAACAATGGAAGCATCAGTGCTGATAGTTTTCGTGTTGGAGAATATGTTCTCAAGGCTTAGCTGCTGGTGAGTCAAGAACTTTATGATCCACTGATAGATTGAGGCCACCACTTTGAGCTGGTTGACAAAGTCTGTGTTGATGTTGTTGAAGTCTTTCTTTCAGATTCTTTACTAAGCAGACTGGCAAGGAAAAGTTGTCACCATGCGAGCAAGTTGCCTCACCACCTGGAAATACAGTAGATTTTTTGAGAGTTTGCATCATCGGATAATGTTCCGTGAACTTTCTGAATGTATTTTGAATTAAATTTTTAATATTTATTATATTTGTAATCATAAAGCAAACAAAAAATGGGACAACATAACTGAAAACTTAAGCATAAACAGTTGTGCTTGAAAGTTTACACACCCTCCCTTTAAAGAAAATAAACACTAGTAATTCAAATAATACAATACCGACAAAAGTAATAATAAATACATATTTTTTGAATTATATTTTAATAAATAAAATATTGATTTTTGAACTAAAAAATTATAAATAAAAGTAACTGTCCAAGAAAAACAGTAATATTTACAGTAATTAACATAGACAAGGTCATACCCATCAGACAAAAAGATTTAAACCAGTCCAGTGCTGTTTTCTTAACTCCTACAGCATTTGCAACCCTTTCTCGAAGATTGTGATGTAATTTATCAAATGCAGCAATGAGATCTAACTGGACAAGCACCAATACAAGTTCATTATCTGAGGTAATAAATATATCATTAGTGATTTTGACCAGTGCTGTTAATGTGTTATGATGAACTCTAAAATATGGTGGCCAAGAGGTGTCAGGTTAAAAACAAAAATTGCAACAGAAATACAAAAGCCACAACACAAAAAAGGCATGAATTATCTGGTACTCAGCGTTACGATTGATTAAAAACACTGATACTTCGTGGATCCTACTATATAGAATTAGTGGAGTATGTATGTATGTGTAGAAATGTGTATCATCTCATACAGATCTGATCAAGTGAAGCCTTATTTTGAGGAAAACTTAATTAAATTAAGTTTTAACGTAAATATTGGTCAGATAAGACAACCACCCACTCCCTTCCTCCACCTCCCCAGTCCTGCTACTGAAAAAAGAAAATCCTAACAGCAGGAATCTGCCACCACTATTTTTGACTGCGGGGATGATGTTCTTGAGGTGATTTTTGTTTTTTTTTGTTTTTTTAGAGATTTGTGCCACATTCAAGTTGGATGTGCCGATTGAACTTACCTTGGACAAATCACGCTTCATGAGAAACTCCCTAACTTTAAAGACTCTGACAGACTCATTCATGAGGCAGCTTTGAACCCTGCCCCCTGTTTACCACTATGTACTCCCAGATCTTTGGAAAGTTGTTTTTTGTGAATTATTGTAGCATCCCTCTAAACTGCAATGAAGGTCAAACAGAAGTATACAGTACAACCATTTTTCCATAATCTAAGTATTCTTAGCATAACATAGTGCATTCAAAGTTGACACATTAAACAATAACATACTGATGACATCTGTGGCAGGAGAGTATAGGCAGTCCAGCAGCTAAACCCTTTTTAACCTGTTTACTAAAAAGTATCGCTATGGGTATCGATATAAGCGGTACTTGCTCAGCTTTTAATTGGTATCGGATCAATATCAAACCAAACATTAATGCACACCTCTAGTGCAGATCAAGTGCAGTGATGCTAGGCTTTGCACTCTTGCAGAGCACATTCATATTCCAGGGCTTGGTCCAGTTGGGAAGTTACAATTAGGAATATTCAAATATTGTACATTTAATTGACAGAGTTACTGATGAGGATGCAAATGGCAGCCTCCATGCAAAGCATGGAAGGATAACAAAATAATTTTTACTTGTATAGGCATGCAGAAAAGGACTAGTGACAACACTTCAAATACACCATTTTAGTGTTAGTACAAAGTAGTATGTACATGGTTTTTACTGGAATGAGGTTAAAAAAACATCCATTAGAGCTTTGATCCTATTTTCCATGAAAAAGATATCTGCGCCTTAAGTTGGCCTGTAAATCCTGCTGCTGGCTGATCTCAGAAACCCTGTGCTATCTCTAGATTGCTGTCCTCACCCTTGAGGCTGGCTTGCCCCTGACCATTTTGCAGTTTGACCACCTCTCTTGGAGGGCCAATGGCATGATCCTGTTGGGGTTGTCACATTGGTCTTTCCACAGGGCCCACAGTGAAGGATAAAAGTTGCCTTGATCCAATATTGAAGTGATTTGTTAAAGAGTCTAAAATTTTCCAAAGCTTCCATTAATGTTTTAGTATTATGTACCAATCTTGGCATTATTGTCCATTGAGAAGACCCATGTATGTGAAAGCTGCAGCTTCCTGACTGTCTTCAATGTTGCGTCCTCACAATGCCATCTACATGTAAAGTCAACCAATGCCCCCAACCCCCCAAACATACTCTCACACACATTTGTTTCAAAATTATAGCCGCTTAGTTAACTTGAAATGGGGTTATGACTTTCTTTGGCTGTTGAGGTGGCTAGTTTGGCCACAGGCCCAAAGACTGACACATGCCTTAAGTAAAAAGCTGAGACATAAAACATAGTAATACTGTGATGTATGTACATAATTTTTTAAAAATGCTACGCTGAATCAATTTCTATTTATTTTAAATTATTCTAAGTGAAGGGTGTTATTAAAATCTCTTTCCTAACCATTTTTTGACATATTTACTATGTTAATAATTGATTTTTAATTTTCCCACAGTGATGTCGGCTACAATATCTCACCAACCACCCAAAGAAGACGAAGAGGAGGACGATGAAGAGCAAGGGGAAGAGTTTACATTTGATGACAGCACAGATGAGGAAAAAACCCAGCAAGATAGTAAAGACATCACCTCAGAAAGTATTACTCCTGTCCATGTGTCAAAAGACGACTACAATGGGGCATCAGATGTAGCTGCAGACGGCACACAGCTTATTAAATTTACAGCTTCTGCTGAACCAGAGTGCATTGTGGCTTCAAATCCCACCACAGGTAACTAAAATTTAGGAAGACTGTTATATTGAAACTTAAGCTAAATAAATCTAACCAATCCGTCAAAGAAAGTCTTCAACATTTGGTTTGTAGTAGTAGCAGTGGTTATACATCTTTTTTAATGTGGTTCATCTAAAAGTTAGATTGTGACCCCACACTAGTAGCTGATAATGCATGCTGCCTTCTTGTTCAGATGTATTACAAGTACATATGGAAAGTGTATATACATTCTCAATGTTTTTACTCACAAACCAAGTGATTAGCATGTACAGTAGGCATAAACTAAAAATAAAATGTTTTAGGATAACAAAAGTTCCCTAATAATTTTCCAAAGAACTTTCTAAGATTAGTTTATTAGATCGAAAACATTTTTTGCATTGCAAAATCATTTGTGAGCAGCCTTTGAGCTTTTATTACAAAGGAGGTAAGGTATTTCTTTCTATAAAAAAAAAACATAAAAAAACAGAACAAAAACCCATAATTAGCTATTTATAGATAGTACTGGTAAAACATGTCAGTGATGTCAGTTTTTGCTGTTTTCAAGGCATTGTGTTTATGTGTAGCACATTTTTCTAGATCGATCTGTCAGCCCCATTTTCAGTTCAGTCCAGTTCGATTTGAACTGTTCAATTAAAAAGTGCCAATTCAAAACGCTTGTCAGATGAGGCTCTATACAGAGAAAATACAGTAAGACATTGTCACCAATTTATACATCCCATTCTGACATTTGCTACTTATTTTACTTATACTTATTCCCCAAGAATTTTAATTCTCCTCTATACAGAGACGTATTAATTTATTCATCCATTTCTTTGTTTATGCATTGTTTATCTTTTAGCCGTCTGTTTGCTTTGTAAAATTGTACAAAGCCCCATGTTTTCAAACTGATACTCATACACTGAAAAATGTTCTGTGTATTTTTTTAGAGCTTACACTCTACTCTAAGATTTGGAGTGCATTCTAATCCATTTATTCCAATACAACAGAAAACCTCTGAGATCTTCACAGGCTCTGACCATAAGAGTGTTGTGAAACATGTCTGCATTCACTTCAATTAAAATATCACTTTACCCGTGTTATTATATGCAAGGTTAAACAATTTCTCCCTCTTTTTATGACCTCAATCAGAATAAAAAATGTAAAATGGCATTATTATTTAATATGTTCTGAAATTTTTAAATACATTACCTCTAGATCTCAGTTGAAAAATTATAAGGTGTAAGAGAAACTGGTGAAAATTTTAAGTTTATGAAAACTTCCATAAAGTTGGGAAAATATATATATATTTTTTTTACTGGCTTCATTTGACAAAATGACCACCTGTTTTTGCTAAAAAAGATTATTAAAAATATATGTGAAGTTGATGGGAAAATGCAATGTTGCTAATTAAACATCATCGAGTTGTCAGCAGTTTATATCATTCTGAGACATGTAGAGATGCTGTAATTAGCCAAATGCCACATGCTTTTTTCTCTCAACTTTTACAAACATGACAACCTATATCTAAACACCAGTTGAACTTTGATTGCACAATGCTGCTCAAAAATTTAGTAATTATATTTTTTATGTTATGATAAGTTTTTAGCTCTGCTGAATCAATTTTATGTGTTTTTAAGATCCACTTAATTGGATTTGATTGTTGCTCGAGGCAGACAGCCTTAAAGAGACAAGCCAAGTTTCCCCTTAATTGGATGAAGTTATGTATAAGTATGATATATTTACCACATAGAGAATGGTGCCAAACAGGTGCTGCTAATTAAACGGCTAGATAAAGCAGAAGATTTAGGTCTTGAAGAGGTTCTGTTGGACATAACAAAGCGATTAGGGCTTAATTAAAATGCTTTTCTACCACATCTATGTGTGGTAATCCGTTAAGTGGGCCGCTGAGGTGCACTGCAATGATAATAATGTGATACTGAGGTCTGTTATACAGCTCAGGGATGAGAGCGGCTTGGATACAGTTCACTACCTCATCACATGACATGAGCCTACTTTATTAGATACAGCTGAAATGGATGAGAGCATTTGTAGAACAAAACCTTTTTCTGTTCAATGTGTGCAATGGGAGTGCTCAACAACTAGACCGAGTCAGGGTCTAATGCAGTGGCTGCAAAAATAATTCTTACTTTGAAATGCTTATTGACCATTTTTTTGGATTTCATTTTCACTACAAGGGTTTCTTTAGCTGAAGAGCAATCATATATACTGCACTTTGACCTGAAATTATTTGGTTTTATCACAGTAATTAAGAAACACTATCATATAATCTGTTTTTAGCTGGAAAATAAGGGCCCTACTTTTAACTTGTAGTGCATAACTTGTTTCAGTTATTCTTTTTTCTTTTTTTTGCAGATGTTCCAGCTGCTGAGTCACAAAATGAGTAAGTTGCCTTTGACTCTAATTGCATTATGAAGAAAACAACAGAAGGGTGGTGCATAAAACCTCAGCTCATACTACAGCACACCAGCACTTATGTCAGTATTCTAGAGCTAATGTCATGTTTGCTCTCCATCTAAACATCCCACAGTGGGTGGAAAACACAGTGATGTTATGTTACAGTATTTATCTTCCAGATGGCTTGTCATGTATAAAGTGATGCTGTAATGGAGTTCTTTTGGAAAATCCCTGGATTGCGTGACTCATGAGGTTACACTTGGCATTAAAGTTAAATTTGATGCATTTTTACAAAGCAGAGAAGTCAGTCAGTTCAACTGTGCTTTCTTTCTTGGCCACATAGCAAAATCTATGTTGGCTGAGCTCATCAACTGCAGATAGACTCCTATGTTTCAAAACAACAGATCCTACATAATTAAAACCATAAGTCTAGCCTAGAGCGTAAAAAACAAAAAAAAAACAAAACAAAAAACTAATATGCCACTGCTCTTCATACATTGTCAGAACACTATTTCATCATTCTGTTAGCTAGTCTGTGAAACCTTCAAAAACCTGTAAAGCCACAACACAGTCTTCTTTTATGGAAGCAACCCCAACCACCTTCGGCATGGAAAAAAAATAGATTGAACATTTGATGCACGTCTGAAAGTAGCCTTATTGTTTTTTGCAGGTATTGGAGTTATTGCTGATGGAACTGATGACCCTGCAACCACAAAAGTCTGGGTTGCAGTCATTCATTTAAACTATTACAGTTGATGCCCTTCCTAAAAGCAAAACATAACCACAGAGCAGGCAGAGGAACCAGTGTCGACTGATAATAAGGCAGCAGCAGTAGGATTAAGTGAAACAGACTAGTGAATGAATATCATTAGAGTCTCTACACACAGAATCATTCATCAGAATTATACAGGTGCTGGTCATAAAATTAGAATATCATGAAAAAGTAGATTGATTTCAGTAATTCCATTTAAAAAGTGAAACTTTTATATTATATTCATACATTACATACAAACTCATATATTTCAGATGTTTATTTTGTTTAATTTTGATGATTACAAATGACAACAAATGAAAATCTCAAATTCATCATATCAGAAAATTAGAATATTGTGAAAAGGTTCAAAATTGATGGCCCCTGGTGCCACACTCTAATCAGCTAATTAACTCAAACCACCTGCAAAAGCCTTTAAATGGTCTTTCAGTCTAGTTCTATAGGCTACACAATCATGGGGAAGACTGCTGACTTGACAGTTGTCCAAAAGACGACCATCGACACCTTGCACAAGGAGGGCAAGACACAAAAGGTCATCGCTAAAGAGGCTGGCTGTTCACAGAGCTCAGTGTCCAAGCACATTAATAGAGAGGCGAAGGGAAGGAAAAGATGTGGTCGAAAAAAGTGTACAAGCAAGAGAGATAACCGCACCCTGGAGAGGATTGTGAAACAAAACCCATTCAAAAATGTGGGGGAGATTCACAAAGAGTGGACTGCAGCTGGAGTGAGTGCTTCAAGAACCACCACACACAGACGTATGAAAGACATGGGTTTCTGCTGTCGCATTCCTTGTGTCAAGCCACTCTTGAACCACAGGCAGCGTCAGAAGCGTCTTGCCTGGGCTAAAGAGAAACAGGACTGGACTGCTGGTGAGTGGTCCAAAGTCATGTTCTCTGATGAAAGTAAATTTTGCATTTCCTTTGGAAATCAAGGTCCCAGAGTCTGGAGGAAAAGAAGAGAGGCACTTCATCCACGTTGCTTGAAGTCCAGTGTAAAGTTTCCACAGTCAGTGATGGTTTGGGGTGCCATGTCATCTGCTGGTGTTGGTCCATTGTGTTTTCTGAGGTCCAGGGTCAACGCAGCCACATACCAGGAAGTTTTAGAGCACTTCATGCTTCCTGCAGCTGACCAACTTTTTGGAGATGCAGATTTCATTTTCCAACAGGACTTGGCACCTGCACACAGTGCCAAAGCTACCAGTACCTGGTTGAAGGACCATGGTATCCCTGTTCTTAATTGGCCAGCAAACTCTCCTGACCTTAACCCCATAGAAAATCTATGGGGTATTGTGAAGAAGAAGATGCAATACACCAGACCCAACAATTCAGAAGAGCTAAAAGCCACTATTAGAGCAACCTGGGCTATCATAACACCTGAGCAGTGCCACAGACTGATCGACTCCATGCCACGCCGCATTGCTGCAGTAATACAGGCCAAAGGAGGCCCAACTAAATACTGAGTGCTGTACATGCTCATACTTTTCATGTTCATACTTTTCAGTTGGCCAACATTTCTATAAATCCTTTGTTTTTATTGGTCTTCAGTAATATTCTAATTTTCTGATATGATGAATTTGAGATTTTCATTTGTTGTCATTTGTAATCATCAAAATTAAACAAAATAAACATCTGAAATATATGAGTTTGTATGTAATGTATGAATATAATATACAAGTTTCACTTTTTAAATGGAATTACTGAAATCAATCTACTTTTTCATGATATTCTAATTTTATGACCAGCACCTGTACAGGCCAGTCAGATCTTTAAATTTCCAAATTTTCTTCTTTCATAAAAGTTTTCTGGCAAACAAAATTATACGATGGCATTTCATTAATGCATTGAAAAGGGGTGTTGATTGATTTATGTAAAAAGTAAAAAAAAAAAAAGGTTTTATGTCAGATTACATTATTGGGCAGTAAACTGAATTACTTGCTTAGAGATAGACCCAAGAATCAAAATTTCTGGTTCCTTAATAACTTACAGATTTTTTCAGTTTTTTATTTATTGTAGCACATGAATGTTTCAAATCATCAAACCAATGTGGAACACATGCAGTGATAACCAGTGGGAATACAAAATGTAGTTGCCAATGATGATTTCATTTATTAGGAAAATAAGCTCTCCTCACCAGGCAGGTCCTAAGCGAAAAAGAAAATTACCCCCAAACCTACATTGCCCTACTTTGGCAACAATATCTACATTGAACCATTTACGATAAATCGTAATTAAAGTTTTTCGTGGCTGTGGGGGAATTTTTTTCCATCTTTCTTTCTAGTATGGTCTTTATTCATCCAAATTGGATGTATTATGAGCAGATCTGACCTTTTTTGGGTCACAAACTGATTTTAGTCTGACTATGAATAGGACGCTTTAAAATAATATTTTTTATTATTGTTTTTTTTACTTTGCCTCTGATACATTTTCAGTAACCTTTGTGTCCTTCAATATTAACTCATAAAATGATGGACAACTATTCTTCCATGGGAGATGAGGCTTTCATGAAGTAATTTTTGTTGGCTGGCCAGTGGAAGGGTTCACCACTGTGTTATGTCGTCACCATTTCTGGATAATTGCTTTGATTTTAAATTCTTAGTGTCCCAAAGGCTTTATAAATGTTTTCACAAACCTTCCCAGACTGATAAATGTCATTGACTTTCCGTCTTATCTGCTTTTTGATTTTCATAGATCAGAGCTTGATAAGCAACTTTTACTGATCGTTAAACCTTACTGATGTCACCAGGCTGGTTCTCGGTGTGGCTGCTAAGTCCGCTAAAAAGAAATGTAGTTGGTTACGGTTAATAAAAAAATTATTATATTTTTTCATGAAAAGTTACATTGGTTTTTATTTTTTTCTATTAATAAATAAAATCCTTACAAAAACAGTAGCAATTATGCAGGTGATCTGTTTCTGACATGTAACTTTTTTTTTTAATCTAAAATATTTAAGAGTGACTGAAAAAGAAAAAGAAAAAAAAGGAATATTATGCCATTACTCTTTGCTTTGGTTTGCAGTTTAAGAGTTGAATAAGGTTCAGGACTTTGCTTTTTCTTTTTTTCTTTTTTTTTAATTAAAGTTCTTTGGTTTTTCAAATAAAGAAAACAAGGGAAACATTGGAACCTCAAAGAAAATAGAAATTTTGCACCAGTCAAAGAAATAAGCCCTGAATAGTACATATTATACATTTTTGTTCCTTTTGATTAGCTACCTGGACACTAATTGGCATTTCAGGGTAAAACATTGTTGTAAGTATCTTTGTAGTATCTTCATGTAAATTTATTTTATGTAAGACTTTTTTTTTTTACAACTGGGCTGCTCATAGACTAAATAGATATGCTAGTTCTGCAGTCCATCTTTTGATAATACATTATTTAAGACCCTTTTACATCAGTTTTTTTCCCCAAAAAATGACCAACATTTTCTTTTTTTCAGTTTATATGTAAAAGAAGTGTCCACAGATTTTTTCAACTGAGGGATTATAATATAAACTCTTTTGAAAACTTTATAAAATGCATCAAATTTTAATGTTGCGTTTATATATTTCAGCCTTTGAATTGAGAACATTTTATTACTGCTGCATACTGAAGTCTTGACGGTGATGTGCAAGCTGGTTATAAATTGGAACATTCTGTTTTGGAGGAACAGTTTCCATTTAGAGTTCTACTTGTCAGAGCTTTGAGTCATATGAATAAAAATCCATCAGTTTTTATCATATTTAGGTCGTTAAAGATCGCTTAAAAGCCCACACAAAGTGCAAAACTCACAAGTTCCAAACAGTGTCTTTGGCTGATTAGAACTCCTTTTGATGGTTGACAGTATGAGTGACGGTTCCATCGGTCTCCTGTGAGCGCTGCTTCAAGGTGTACTTTGCTGTGTAATTCAAAGCACATTTCTAACTGTCTCCAGACTGAGGGAAGGTCTAATCAGCCCTTTTAGTGAAAACACCTGCAGTACCATTAAGAGGCAGATATGCCTAAATCTGAGGCGATAAAACAGAAACTAACTGCAGCACACTGCTGCTCCAAGAGCTGAATTTCTGATGGTTTCAATAATATGAAATCCCATGTTACCCAGAAACTCATAAAATCACAGCCACTAAATCTGTCTAGTTATTTTGAAAACTCGAAGCAGAAAACAAGATTATGTCAATATTATACAAATAAAATGAGATCAAGTTTTTTGGATTTACCCTTAAAATATGTCCAAAAATTGTT